TCCATGCGGAAGAGCATGTAAACTTGAGGCTGGTACAGATGTTGGGGGTCTACAAGACACGAGATGTGGTGCAGGGGCGCGTATCTCACCACCATCATGAATATTTCCTGAGGGGGAGGTGATGGAGTTGAATAGAGGCAGTCCTGCAGAAACATTGGAGAAAACTCCTGACGTACTATAACCAGCCTGTATATGCGGTGCCATTTGCTGAGAGCTAGCCCTAGTGGAGGGACTCTGCAGACTCGTTGCAGGAGGCCCACAGGAAGATGGGCCAGTATCCAGGGGGAGCCGAGAATCACTTTGCCGCCTTGAAAGCTGAAACTGCTGCTGTCCCAAACTCGAATCTGACATTAATATAATGGTTAAGAAAAGACTCAAAACAGAAACCCCAGTGATGCAAGCACCTAAATTTAGTTATCGGTATGCCTGCTAAGGTGTAGAATACATAAATATGAAATGAATGCATACACACTTACGGACATGCGTAAAAATACATATTTAAGTACATAAATTTTCACCTTTCCCTTAAAATAATCAAAACAACCAAAACAAAAAAACCAAGAACTGCTGATAAAATGAGTAGATAACATCCATTGACTTCATTTTATATTTTATTTTATTTTTTTCAAAATCACATATCCATAATTTAGTTTATGAAAAAGGAAAATAGAAGGTGCCACCACCAAAATTACTGATGTGCATTGTTTGTCAAGAACACGCTGCCAATTCAGGCTTATAGCTTAGGTTGAAACTTGATCCGTCAACAAGAAAATAATAGATGGCGAGGAAACAACTACTACTACTAGAAAAATAATCGGAAAGGAACTGAAGTGAGATTAGGTATTTCAAACATATCCCAGTCAGGGCTGTAAAAGCAATATTAAAATTTAAATCTCTCTATACCTTGATGCATTCCTAATGCACTAGATGCTTTACGATCCAAGCATTTAGACCTATAAGCATCTGCCAAGAACTGATTCACAAGAACTATGTTAAGATTTGTATCCAGGGTGGTCTTGGTTTGCAGAAACTCCACTTCAATCTCCTGAGATTTAATATCATACTTCCTGCGAAGTTCATCTAATTCCTTCTCAAAATCAGATTTCAACTGCAATTTCTGCTCCACCAAGAATAATATTAATCAGAAAAATATAGACACCTAGAATAAATATTATCACAGACAGTAATGTAATATAATAAGCAATCCAGAAGCTAACCATTTCTTCATGGTTTTTCATAATTTGTTCCGTTACTTTTTGTATTCTTTCCAATTCATTTTCAAGTGGATCATAGCTCAAATGTGGAAGCATTCTGTAAGCTGAATGAATTGCAGTTTGCATAGGAGTTGACAAATGTCTTGTGTCAGGGTGCACAACCAAATGTGAATCATGTTCCGATGCTGAGTCTGGTTGCACTACATCTTGATTTGGAACCACAGTTGATGCCTCAGGATCATGGCTTGGGAGATTGACTTCATTAATTGGCTGATGTTCAACTTCAGTTGCCAGAGGAAAATTAGATGGATCCAGGTTGAAAGAAGGGAGCTCTGCAGATGGGAATTGCTGCACCTGCTCTGAAGGATTCGTGATCAGTGAAACATGATTGGATTGATTGGCTGGTAGAACATTAACAGGACTGGAAACCAGCTCTACTTGTTCCAAAGAATTCTGCATTTCCCCAGCTGTATTCTGGTCAGGAGGGAACTCTAGAGATGATAATTGCAGCATTTGTTCAAGTGGCTCAGTGGCATCAGCAGTATTCTGTTCTATCATGGTTCTGCGTACTCCTTCCTGCTGGTCTGATGTGGTACTTCCATCCAGTAACATTGGGTTCATTAAAGTTTCTATATCATTATGACAATCAGCCACTGTATGACTATTTTCTGGCACTATAACAGGAATATCTCCATTAGGTATACTCAAAAAGACTCCATCAGAAATTTGTTGCTCCAAAGGTGGATTCAAAAGGGAAACTGTAGCTGGACTAATGCTTGGACTAGCAGCTTGACAAGGCCTTGAAGATAAAACACTATCTAAAACTGGAACATTTATCGAACCTTCAGATATTTGCTCCATGGATGAAAGGTGATCAACAGCAGTAACCTTTTCGGGACAATCAGTACCATTGGAAGTCCCAGGCATACCCAAATGTGCCTTTTTATCTAATACACTGATTATGGACCCGTCAGCAATTCTTTCATCAGACAAAGGCGAATTCTGAGTGAAAGAATTATTTGAACCATTACAGTCATCCGCCTCCTGGATGTGTGTAGCATTCTCAGAATCTGGCAAGCACATGGCATTTCCCCGAGATATATGTCTTTCAGGTGATTGTGAATTCAAGGAAGCAATAAATTTTGTGCCATTAACGGAGCCATCAAGTTTCCTCTTCTTAGAAGAATGAACTTCGTCCTGACCATCATTTGAACTGATGGTTTTACACACTTCAGGAGCCACCTCTCTGCTAGTAACATCTGATGTTTCCCCATCACATACCTCTCCATTCGATGAAGGCAGAACCAATGTTGCAGCATCATCCCTACAACCATCTTGATATCCACGGCTAAAATATTCACATCCAATACCTTCATCTGTCATTCTTGTAGCACCACCAGAATTCTGTTTTCTGGAATGGGAATGGTTAGAGATAGTATTTCCTTGACTGTAACACTGATTTTTAGCAATATTATGATCCTCACTCCTAGAGACTGGTCGATCTTCTGAAACCATAATGCCCATTTCATCAGCACCAATATGCTTGACAAGAGGATTTTGCAGCTCAGTTGTGCTACTGCATGGCACAGCTGCAGGGGAATTGGTTTCAGGAAACACATTCCTGTCCCTTGTCATGGCTTCAACCATATTATCATGATCCTTTCCTTCAGCAAAATGATTCTTTGGATCATTGTGAGGCTGTACTTGATCAAAAGGCTGCAAGAATTCAACCTGAGTCCCATGTTCCTTTGAAGCAACAATGTTTGACAATTCATTTTGTGCCCAAGATTCCACCTCTTGAACCCAAGTGGTCTCCCAATTTTGAAATTTTAGTGTTTCAGCTAATTGCACGTCCTCAAGATCCTTGAGACGTGTTTCCTGCTGAAATTTCAGTTTTACAATATTTTTATCATATTCGCTGTTCAAAACCTTGAGCTTTTGTGTTCTCATCACATCATTGGGAGAGCAGGATCGAATAACTGCCAACTCTAATTTGTAATTTTTCTCAAAGTCAGCCTTTTCAGCCTCAATATCTGCTTTGAACCTTTGCTTCTGTTCCTGTTGAATAAGGTGTAGCTTCTTCAACTTCTTTTCACATTTCTTCCGAATATCTTTTATACTTTTGGACATATCTTTTTTGAACAATTCAACCTCCCGTGCCCCTCCTGTACACGAATAAACCCTGTTCGATGATTCAGAAGCTTTTGGAGAACCAGTATCATTATAATTTCCGGTACGATACAAAAATATTTTCTTTAGACACCGCAACATAGAATAAATGTAGTCCACCTCTTTTTTGTTACAGTCAAAATTCAAATATTGTTTTGCAAGTGTAAGAGAAGCTTTGTGGTCAAGTTTGTGCTTTAGCATAGAAGCAGCAGTCCAAATCTGAAAATACAAGAAAAAAACTTATCAGCTATACATACTAAATGAAATTATGTGAATACATGCATTTATAAGTGGTAGGAAACAAAGTCCTGTAAACTACATCACAAGACACTATAACAAATTGTTAACTAGAATATACTAAACATATATATGCATAATTGCACTCAAAAAAGGAATGTGACAGTAAGATTCAACTGAATCAAATGGGTTGTAAAGATGGTAACCAGACTGCAAATAAGCATTAAAAAATGGAGCAAATATACCTTAATGAATTTTTTTTTTTGGTACATCTTAATGAATAAATATTAAATAGAAGTTGAACAAGTCATTCAACATTTTGCATCTATCCTACTTGTCCTTTATCTTCCATAAATATGTTTAAAAAATCACCTCAAGTAAAGTTTATTTGATTAAAATATGTTGTAAATACGAACAACCATGTATAATTAGTCAAAATATGTTTTAGACACCTTTGAAACTTTTGGATTTTGCAACAACTCTTGACTTCTGTATTAAAATTAATCTATAATTGTAGGCATTGTACACGAATATATAAGCAAAAATATTCAGAGTCAGAATAGTAAGTTCCAACTTGGTATTAGAGGTCGTGATCAAGAAGACTTTGTTTCTGCACGAAAATATCTTCAGTACTACCGAAGTACGGAAGACTCAGTGCATCCTTTACTAAATATGAAAAAAGTAATATATTTGTCTTTCCCATTTAACCCATCCTTGTATGGTTTTCCCCCCCTAAATCCCCACCATTTTCTACTTTTAATAAAGGAGTACAGACTCCTGTAGCACCAAAGATGTGCTCGCTTCCTCACAACCTTAGCCTGTCTTTATCACGACATTGTGACGGCCACCTTCATTACAACCAACATAGACAGCTTTCATAATAGACAAGTGCCTATTTGTCTCCTTCATTGTGTGCACCACTAGTGACTTTCTCATCCACAATTGTCACAGCCACTGCAATCAACCGTCTATTCCCTAGACATGCTGCCGTCAGCCATCTTAAGTGCATCTCTACACGTTAGATCCACATGCCACCATTGCAAGTGCACGGGGAGGCTCGTCCAGCCACTTTTGCAACCACCACCACTCCGAGACAGCTAGTGATAACCTCCTCCCTTGGATATAGCCTCAGTCTATGCACAGAGCATCACCTACATGCACTCTCTCTCTTCCACGCACATGCTAGTCTATATCCACCCAGACCACACAACCCACTTCTTAGTCCGTTATGCCTACCACTCGCTCCAAACGATCTTCCATTTCTGTATATGACCTACCGTCTCATTGGAAAAAATTATTTACATAATCCTACTTCATTTAGAGTACCATCAAAGAGTAATGGAAATTTAATCATATCAAAGAGCAAACGGCTCCAAATTTAACAAATGGAATGATGGAGTCATCGGGAAGTCATGCTAGATGTCATACCACTAATGGGTCTGCCGTGATAACAACCAAATCCATTAAAAGGGTTATTCCTCAACCTTTTCTAAACCTAACAAAGACAGCGGCTGGTGCAGCTACTGTAAGAAATTTGGCCACACCAAGAAGACTTTTTTATCTTCAAGGAAAGGAACAAGTTCTTAACAAAATATGTGGATCAAAGGTTTCCAAAGAGGCCAAGCCCATTTGGGTTATGTTGAAGCTTCAACGGGGGCCAATGAAATTCCCACACTTAGGAAAGATGAGTTGGAGCGACTTGAGAACCTTAAGGATTCCCTTACTAAGATTTCAGGCACCTGTCCTCATTCTATTATTTGGTAAGAACACATGCTCCCAATCTCTTACTTCTTCTTGCATCGATTCTAGTAAATCACGGGTTGTTTAGCGACCAACCACATGCCGTGTCTGTAACAAATTTTGTCTTGTGAAATGCCACCTAGTGCTCATACTATTGTTGTTGCTAATAAATCTCATACATCAATTGCGAGTTCTAGTAACATTCAACTCCAACCCTCCTTATGCCTAACAAATGTGTTTCATGTTCCAAAACTCTTTACTAATCTCATCTTCACACATAAACTTACCGAAGATCTAGATTGTGCCATGGCATTCTTTTTAACTCATTGTATCTTTCAAGATCTCACCACGAGGAGGACAATTAGAGTTGCTATGGAATAAGGTAGGGTTGTTACAGGTGTTACTAGTAAACAATTTCCAATGTCCTATAAATATTTCGTCGAAAGATTATAATTCTAATTATGATGACTTACCCATTGCCTTAAGGAAAGGGAACAAGACCTAATACCAAGTACCTTATCTCTCATATTGTTTATTCACCTTTCCATGCAGCACGAGTTTTATTTCAGCCTTCGATTCAAGTCATGCATGAAGAGATGAATGCCTTGACAAACAATAAAAATGGAAACTTGTTAATAGACCAAAATGAAAGAGAGCAGTGCATTTAAATGGATCTATACTTTGAAGTATCAGTCTGATAGTACACTTTGTACACTTCATAGGTACAAGGCAAGGTTAGTTACTAAGGGTTACACTCAAACATATGGCATTGACTATCAGCAAATATTTGCTCCAATGGCCAAAATAAACATTACAAAAGTCCCATTACCTCTTATTGCTCACCTTAATTGGGAATTGAAGCAATTTGATGTATAAAAAAAAAAAAAATTGCTTTCCTTCATAGCAAATTAGAGGAAGAGGTTTATATAGAGATCCCACACGGATTTGATTCCAAGAAATGAGAAAATAGGGTATGCATGATTTAAAAAAGAAAAAGCTCTATATGGATTCAAACAATCTCCCCGCGTGTAATACAAAGTTTATAGTGCTCTTGTAATACAAGTAGGGTTGGCAATTCCTATCATCGGTTGTGTTCATGTCATGTCAATGTTGGACAAACACAAATACACTTGATACGAACAAAGATTTGTGTAAAACCTTCGACACGAACATGACCCGCTTATTTTGCGAGTCGACACTATACAACATGAATAACCTACCAACTTCAAAGTATGTTACTTTTTGCAGGTTGAGACAATATGAATAACCCGCAAATCTCAAAATGTCACGCATACTATGCAGGTTAATACGGCATGACAAGACACAAATAACTTGTGTACTGAATGCTGATTTCTCCAATCTCGTGTTGACACGACACATTTAACATGAAAGAAGATTAACTTGGGTTTGTGTCATGTTTTTTCGTGTCAAATTTTGTCAAAACGAATTCGAAAACAAGTCGACCTAAACACGAATTTCTCGTGTAATGTTACAGGATCGTGTTTAAAACACCACACTCTCTTCGTTAAATAGAGCGGGATCTAATTGAGAAACAACTACTATATGAAATGTTGACGATTGATTTTGAAATTAAAGACCATGGAGCTGAGGTACTTTCTTAGATTAGAGGTCGATTATTCCAAACCAAGTAACTTTATCTCTCAAAGGAAGAAAGACCTTGATCGCCTTATGGAAGTTGGTAAACTTGAAGCTATTGGTACCCCTATGATGCGGTCCATCTCAATAAGAAATATGGGAGAGTGTACAGTAGGAAGAAGTGTAGAGGATTGCAAGTGTACAGTAGGAAGAAGTGTAGAGGATTGCAACCGATTAACAAAAGTGAGTCAACATTAATTAGATAGTTGGTTAGAGCAATTAGTGGCATGAATGGCATCTATAAAACAGAAGGTGAGCGCAAGGAAAGCATATGAAATATTGGGCATTTGGACTGAAACTTGGGAGAGAATCAGAGCCTCTCTAATGCTCTGACTTTGTTTCCCTAACATTTTTTCTTTTAGTAAATTTTCCTCTGTTGAATGTATTTTCTTTTTAGTTTTAACTTCTATAATATCGGAATATAGGAATAAAGGAAGTGTTGTTGTTTCAATCAGTACTTTTGCATTTCATGTGGGACTTTGATCCTTATCAATTGGTATCAAATATTCAATCTAGGAGCTATGCTACCAAAAAAATTATGGAAATCAGAATTGGAGCAATGGAAGATAGGATGGGAAGATCAAAAGCTTGGATGCTTTGGAAGAAAGAATGAGTTGAATAGAACACAACAACAAAGATGTTGAAGCTCATCTGTGTTCTTGAGAACACCATCTACCGAAATTGATTTCACAGTAGACGAGCGGATAAATGGCAAGGTGGAACAGAGGAATCCAGCCGACGATTTACGAACAATTTTCAGATAGGTGACAACCATGTGCTGGGAATGGGGAAGAGGGAGGAAGTCAGTTCACCTCCATTACCCACACCACCGGACGTGAAGACTTTTGAGAGAGGGGAGGAGCGCACCCATGAACAGAGAAGGCAACATGAAGAACAAACGAAGGAGCAATTTATTGTCAGGAATGGGTTGGACAATTGTAGACCTAGCCCAAGGGAAGGTTGATTGCTTTCAAACTTTACTTGATGATGCTTCCCTAATTGTGTCGTTGGCTGGCAATGCTAACCATTCATTGGTGGTGGGTGTTGTTGTTGAGATATGTCCTTTCTCTAGCAATTTCCACCCCATCCCCAAAAAAAAAAAAATCCGCTTCATTTGTTTTTCTCTTTTCTGTTCAGGCTCACAAGCTCATTTGCCCACTCTCACATGGAACAAAGCCCATCAAGCAGCGACTATGCATGCTAATCTCGCTAAAAAAAGAAAAGAAATAGTTGTTATGGGAACGAAGCCCATCTTACAGAACATCACTCACGCACATTCACTTAGATCTCAAGTTCTTGTCTTGCCGTCATCTAATTCATCATCATCTCAAGTTCTTGTCATATTTCACATGTGGGATGGAAAGTACAATATTTTATTCATTGAATTTTCAAGAGGTGGATGTGATGCAGTCCATCTCTATAAGAAGTATGGGAGAGTGTACAGTAGGAAGAGGTGTAGCGGATTGCAACCGGTTAACAGGAGTGAATCAGCATTAGTTAGTTAATTGGTTAGTGCAATTAGTGGCATGAGTGGCATCTATAAAAAAGAAGGTAAGACCTAAGGGAAAGCATATGGAATCTTGGGCATCTGGAATGGAACTTGGGAGAGAATCAGAGCCTCAGTAATGCTTTGACTTTGATTCGGTAACACTTTTCCTTTCTGTAAATTTTCCTTCTGTTGAATATGTTTTCTTTTGAGTTGTAACTTCTATAATCTCATAATATAGAAATAAAGAAAGTGTTGCTGTTTCAATCCGTACTTTTGCATTTCTTGTTCTATTTTCTTGATCTAAGACTGTGATCCTTTACTGGGGTAATAGGCTGATTCTACTCCATACATCCCTTCAAGACTTCAATTAGTTGATGTGTAGATTAAGGGACTTCCCAAGATTTCGAGATCTCACTAGCAATTTGGCAATCAGCTTAGGGGAGTGTGGTGTAAATGTAGAACTCCCATGTGAAATTAGTCAACATGTGGTTGAGCCACCTTTAAAACTTTTGTATTTTGTACCAACATTAATCTGAATATTTTTGTACACGCATTGTGACCGAGCTCACTAAGCTACCCAGAGACTAGAATCTCATCTGAAACAAAAATTTCAAGGCATACATGCAGTTGACAAGCCAGTTCAAGAGCCAAGGAAAAATGACTTGATGGTTCCGTTACAACTTGCAACAGAAAATTATCAACATGATAAAAATCAACAGAAATTAATGAAGTATTATAGTTTATCAAAAATAAAATAAGCACACAATACACTCTTATAATTTACGGAGATTGGGTATGATGCATTCAAATCAAATTCCATAGCATGTTTCTGTAGGAAAGGAAAACGAAGCCAAGATTATTAACTCACAAATCCTATGTGACATAGACTGTGAAAACAATCGAGAAATAAATAGATGGCAAAAAAACAACAGACCAATTTTCTTTAACAAAAGAAAAGAGAAAATGATGAGGTGGGAGAAGGATAGAAAAGAGACAGAATAGAAGAAAATGCGAGAAAATATTCTGACCAGAGATATTTGAAAAGCCTGTAATATTGACACTGGTTCCCAATTAACAAGGTGATTGCTCATAACATATTCCAGAAAATTATCGACTATACTCTTGACGTTATCCTGCATTACAAAAAGAAATGTCACCATAACATCAAATTCAGACTCATAGAGGTATGCCATATATGAATACAAATTTTGCCAAACCAAAAATGATACTCATCAGTAACATTGTACAGTGTTATAAAGATTGATCCTTGGGGAATGCAGGGTTTAATTAGAGGAATGGACTGCAACATTAATTTTCAAGGTCAAAATCACAGGGATTCAAATATCTAAGGAAACTGGGACTACTTGAAAAGGTATACACAAACATCACCTTTCTTAGGTTCCACTTCTGCATTCATGATAACGAATCCTAGTTTCGTTGATAATAGGTAAAGTCATTACCCACATCTTATTACAATGTACTTATTACTCAATCAGTTCATAATCCGACAAAATCAATCCATCAATGATACAAAACTAAACAATCACCAACACACCCTTGAGAAACCATCAACAGTGCACTATAAAACATTATGTCATTAATTTTTTTCTCGTTTATTTCCTTCCACCACTTTATGATTATCTTCTGTTCAAAATAAGGACCCTGATGGGCCTAGAACAAAGTAATATAAGTCTCCCCCTACAATTAGATCCAAGACTTATTGATCCCTTTACCTTATTTTATTCCCTATACTGCTTAATATCACCTTTTATAGCAGCCATTTCCAATACATTGTCTTCTTCCCAATTTCTGCTCTAGGCAATCTCCTTAGTCCTTCCTGTTAATATTAAAAAGATTCTGATTTCCCAATTCAGACACCATTGTCGGCCTTTTAAACAAGTTATATTATAGCACCAAGAACAGCCAAAATCTGAAATTCCAGCAAAAGATTTCTCAAATTTATCTTGTCTCTTTTCTTTCAACATTAGCCTTCACAATTTCAGATCAGTGACACTTCATTGAAGGGCTTTAACATTAAATAATATTGTTGAACTGCCTATACTTATCTACAATCCCTAATAAATCACATTTCATCAGAACTGTAAAGAAAGCTAGCTCAAAGGGTGGGAGTGTCCAAGGCCTTATAAACTCCACATTAGTTGCACATACAACCAATGTGGGACTATATATCTCAACACGCCCCCTCACACAAGAGCCCATTGGGCTTGAAGAGTGGACAATGCAACAGGCCCAGCCAACCTGTGCTAAGAAACGCATCAAGAGAAAGTGGGGGGCGGTGAGGCTCTGATACCATGTAAAGAAAGCTAGCTCAAAGGGTGGGAGTGTCCAAGGCCTTATAAACTCCACATTAGTTGCACATACAACCAATGTGGGACTATATATCTCAACAAGAACAAACAATCTGGTAATAAAGTTGCAACTTGTCAAGGGTAAAGGAAGAGAGCAGGACAACAAATAGCAAGTAAAACTTAACAAAGAGAAAACATGCTGCATACTGGGAGAAGAAGAACTTTGCAAAGCTTTGTGATCTGTGGCTTCAGCGAAAGATGTAAGCTCCTCTGTTCGCCATGCAGTCTAATTTTTTTCTCAGATTCAACATCATCACCTTGAGGTCTATCTGACATTTGATCAAGCAAACAAATCAAGATAGGTCTGTGATTCACATGGAATGGATTACCAACACAAATAGTTGAACTAGGCAAGAATTGAGAGACATTACCAACTAGATCTCCAGACGTTCCTACAAAAGTATGTAACTGTTTAAGAGTATGCCATAAAAACAACAAAGGCTACAAGAATTCTGACAATTTTCCAACCTCGTTGAATTGAACAATGAAATGTCATACAAAGTGAAAGTACTAAAAATGACCACTAACCTGCCTTGATTCCAGTGGATAACTTTTCAACTTCAGATTTTGAAGAAGGCTGAAAAACAATATTGTTGCCAACTTTCCTCCGCTTCTTTGCTATACCTTCACTCACAAGATCAGGCCCATGTACTGACCCATCAAAATAATGAACTCTCTTCCGACTCCGCTGGGTCGAACTGCATGAGTACTTCCACCGAAACTGTTTTCCCTCAAAAAGTTTTACCCAAAAAATATGTGGGGGCTCTTCGTCCAGTAACCTAAGTTTCACCTCACCATGCAAACCAAAATTTGAACAGTATATTCCCCCATTTAGCTGGACTTTCAATAAAAATGAACAGTTGCTTTTGTCAGTGTCTTCACCATCCTGAGATAGTATGGACGAGAATTCATGGACTGCTTCTTTCAAAAGTGGTTGTTCAAACAAGGATTTCAGACTTGACACAGAAGTTTCACCATCATGAAAAACTCTCAATTCATCAAATAGATATGATGAGCCCCACATCAATAGCATATGACTGATACTCCGGTTTATGTTATTTAAATTGATGTCAAGTGTCTTGTCTTGCATTGCAAGGATTAAGGCTTTTTCTTCAACTGTGAAAGATGAATATAAACGGAATATTTTTATCAATTCAAACTGTGAATCGAGTGCTATCTTCTGAAGGGATCTTACATCATTCATTGGGTTCCAATCACTATCAAATATAATAATAGTATCAACTGATGATAATTTGATGCTTGGAAGGCAAGCACATGTTTCCAACAAAAAGACAAACCGTCCATCATTCTTGTTGTTAAATTTCTTCATGGCAGCTTGCTTCTTGGAAACCGAAAGACTTTTATCAACCCGTTCATAAGAATCTGAACCAAATCTTAGTCGCAGGAAATCATCCAAAATATCTCCGATTGAATCCCTTCCAGAACCTCCAATAGACTGCAACCTCAATAACAATTTAATATAACTCAATGAAGCTTCCCTCAAGTGAATGATGACAAATAAGAGAAAGAGGGGCATTACAGTCCCCATATACTCACTGGCACAAATACATAAATACAGAGAAAAATTGCTATGAAAAAGCAAAACAAACAGAAAAAACAACCTTCGGGTCATAGTAAGAGTGTAATTATCAATAAAAACTTGTTTCTAAGCTTTTCTGATATTGCTCACCCATACAAACCCAAACAATTTTCCGTAACTAAAGAAAAACAGAAAGAAAACATGAGTAGTGAGACTGTACTAAAATATACAAAAAGAAATAAATCATCCATGTAGTGCTATAGCTCTAATTAGAACCATAATGTGATTCAAAGAGAGGGGGGGGGGGGGGGAATAGCTGATAAGGAACCAAAAATGGCTTTTTCACCCTTTTGCCCCTTATTAATTAATTAATAACCATTTTGCCCCTGATTCGAAACTATCTACCAATCTGCCCCTCTTTAATCGACTACCTTGCATTTTTAATCGACTAAACGGTTGTTGGGAGATTTAATCGACTAAATCTCTCTACTTAATCGATTAAAATCATACTGGCTTATTTTTTTTTTGTAAAATATGAAGATTTAGTCGACTAAATAGGGAGATTTAGTCGACTAAATCTCCCAGCAGTCATTTTTTGTCTGTTTTGGTCATTTAGTCGATTAAAAATGCAAGGTAGTCGACTAAAGAGGGGCAGATTGATAAATAGTTTCGAATCAGGGGCAAAATGGTTATTAATTAATTAATAAGGGGTAAAAAGGTGAAAAAGCCAACCAAAAATGGCATCCCCTGAAAAATCTAATAAACACTTTAATCCTCAACGAAGATAAATTGCAAAGTCTCGTCTACGAAATTTTAGTTCATCTAATCCACCATAAATACAGGATAAACCAATATATTGTCCACATAGGGAAAGAACTATTTATGCATAACTCGTGTATGATATTAAATATTAAGCTGGATAGATACTATTCAGCAATATTGTTTAAGGTTTATGGGATCCTTAGTTATGATGGCATTAATATAGAATTGGTTCTCTTAATATCTGATTATAAGAAAAGTACGAGTGATAACAACATTCGAGAAGAACTTGGTTATTATTCTGATAACTTTTTTCTAAAAAGATCCTTTTAATATATAAATAAAACGTTTTTGTTATCGTGTACACTTAGGACATATGTTAAGGAATCAAACATAGAAACTGTTATTTATGTGTTGTTGTGCACACGTTAAGAAATAAAAATATATTTTCAAGATGTTAAATAAATACTTATATTTTTCATTTAATAGTTTCTATTCCTTAACATAAGCACAAATCCCTATTATTTATATAGTATTAAAAGGAGATCTTCGGATAAAAACATAAGGAGGAATTATATGAAAGTTCTTCCCAAATGATGTTACTACTACATTTCATATAATCAGATAATAAAAGAACCAATTATATATTAACATTATCATAACTAAGGAGCACATAATGCGCTACAACTTATCAAAGTAGTATACAAGACAAAATATATTTAATAACCATATAAAACTAATGTAATAAGACAAATCAAGTTTAAGAAGACTACATAAAGAATTCTAAATTTTCAACGTGGTGGAGAAGCAAATATAAATTTGTATTAAATTACAGATACACGCAAGTAACAAGCCATCTTTGGTGATAAGTTTGATCTTGAAATTCTGTCTAGTTCACACAAGTTGCACATTGAAGTAGTTTTTAACTATAGTTGAATCAATTTCCTTTGGATTTGCCCAAAATTTTTGAGATTCATATATTACTTGTAAGGGTGGCTTGTTTTGGTTTCGGCGCATTTCATGTAACCATCCGTAAATCCTGCATGGGGTGTGGAGCTTTTCCATCTTAGCGTGTGCCCACCCCAATGTTAGCACCAAGGATTGCATATGGGAAATATTGAAACACATTTCCCAACATCTGCCTGCTTAGATTTTAGCACCAGCAGCTCAATGCCATAAACACATTTCAAAAGCCTGTTTGAATGTTTCAATTAAAAACAGAAAGTATGTTTAAATGTAAAAGCTGAATCATACATCAACATATTGCCCAATTTTTTAGAAGCTTAGGTTAATCCAGGAAACTAGGAAATTCAAAAAATAAATAAATGAACAGTTCTTTTATCATTGTTGAGAATGTTGTAAGTAGAATAGTTCAGTGTGAGAGAGAAAGTCCCACATCATGTATTATTCATGTATAACTCCTTTTATTCAGTTATATATTAGTGTATCCGTTGTGTATCTAGATTACGCGGATTATATCATATAATTTTCGTTTCATTCTCATTTAACAATCACTATTAGGACTCAGTTATAACAAATATTTGAGCTAAAGAAACTTGTAGATAATGGAATGGGAAGATAGTCAGCAAAATGTGTACCTGAAAAAGAATGAGTACCCTTAAATCATTTTTTTTCAATTCCATGAGCATTGAATCGAGAAGTTGCAGCTTGCCGCTTGCTTTTATGTCAACATCCAGATACTCAACCACTTCAAGGCCCTTGGTAAGCAAAGGTTGCAGGGATGGATCAACAGTATAGGGATGATTACAGCACTGTCAAGAGATAGCACAACCAGAAAATGAAACCATTAAGAAAATATACAACCACTTGACAGCTTTGGAGTTAATTGAAAAAAGTAAACCAACACAAAATAAACAGTTTTTTTATCAAATTCGTTTTACCAATTCAGCTTCACAACATAAACATCACAAGATTTTAGACTTCAAAATAGATTCACTTTAACAACGCAAATCTAAATCAAATTTATTTCTGATCACTGATGTACCAAACCTGTACCAAATTGATTAAATTGATGTGCCATACACAAGATTATAAATTGTTTACTCCATATAAGTAAGGAATTATTAACAGTTCACCCATAACCATCGAAAGGGCAACCTGGTGCTATACAGTTCCCATTGGGCACAGGGTCCAAGGAAGGGTCATACCCATTGTGTGGACCTATACTTATCTTCCATTTGTAAGATGCTGATTACATGATTTGAATCTGTGACTTCCGTGTCACAGGCCGACAACACTAACTGTTGTGCCAGCATAACCATTTGATAATAATAAATCCAAATTTATTAAGATGGTGCAATCCACATATTGTAGCACAAAACAGCTATACAACCTAAAATAAATTTATATTGTCTTTCAATCTCATGACATCTATGCAACTGATTTAAAATTTACAAACTCACCTTCCGGATTGAAATAAGGACATCACGAATGGCCCCAACACTATCGATCTTTGACGATGAGCGAAGAATTGAAGCATTTGAAAGTAAAGTAGCACAATATTGCTCAAGCTGAACATGAGATATCTGTACAGGAACCCAATACTCAACAAACCTAAAGGAGTAAGACTTGCATCTATATGCAATATGACTTGACAACCTCTCCTTCAGTTGAACAATACTGTTATTGGAATTAGATATTAAACCATCTTTTTCATAATCATTTTGATGATCAAGAAGAGTCATAATATCTTCTACAATGCTATCCTGCAAAAGCCAGTAGCATTACATAAGGAAACATAACAACTTTGAGTTGAGGGAGAAGCTGAAACATACCATCAAAAGAAACTGTTTAATATAGACAAAAGAAGAGGAGATTGAATGAATTCCGTGTGTAAACTGTAACCTACAGGTCTGATTTAAGTCCATTATGTGGAAAAGGATTTGTGAATTGCTTGAGGAAATCCTCAGCAGCACATTCTATTTATGATACAATCTCTAATAAAAGGAAACTAGGAATTTACAATATCTATTATTCAGAAACTAAGAAAATAAGAAAACTAAGAAACTAGGTAATCAAGGGAAAATAATACAAATCAAATCTGAATCAATTACAGAATATACAATCCCTAAATAGGAGATATAATCCTTAAATAGAAATTGTAATGCCCCAATTTAATAATCGGATTGTTAACTCACATATGATAATATAAGCGCATCTTACTTGATTAAAGTAGCGGAAGAGTTCTAATTATGCTATGTAATTTCGCAAGATGACTTTTCCTTTTATGTAATTACCTTGCTTAATTTATATTTTTATATTATCTATACAGTCTCATACCTGCACAAAATTCTTTAGTTTATTTTACAATTTATTATTATCTGTACAGTCTCATACATGTATAGAATTTAAGTTTGAATTCTGTGACCATAATCAATGACCAATGACTATCCGAACATGATATCATATACCATTCCTAATAGAGTATAACTGACAGTATAACAGTTGTAAATTGAACTAAACTACAGATTGCATCCCTCTATCTTACCTTGTTCTTGAAATAAGTTGAAGTCCATCATATATACTTATCCTGAATATGGCTCCGTGCCATTACAATTATCAACTACTTGACTTGATAACACACATACATACACATGATCCTGTCATAATACTTAATTGTGCATCAGCTATAAATGCCTCTCTAAATGATTATCAACTGTGAATAAGCATGATCATATACGTCATGCACTACCAAAACATGTCTATATCAACATGTAAAATAACTAAATGTCCACTCATGATGAGTTCTCTATCCTCATTGCACTGGTCCCTTGCCCTTTGAGCGCGCTCCTGCTACTGATGTACCTGTAATTTAAATTACAGCCCCACAACGGGGTGAGAAATGAATCCCAATAAACTTTGGGTTTGTGGAGCAATCTCCACCCATGAGTTCACTTTCTGCATGAAAGGTCAGATATAAAGCATATAATACAACATGTAATCTTGTCAACATAATACTAACTGAATTAATACGGAAGCATTTGTTCTCCCCACATGATATTAATACAGAAGCAATTGTACTCCCCACATGATATTATTGCGAAAGCATTTGTACTTCCCTACTGATATTATAACGGAAGCATTTGTACTTCCCTACTAATATTATAACGGAAGCATTTGTACTTCCCTGCTGATAATCTTACGGAAGCATTTGTACTTCCTTGCTGATAATCTTACGGAAGCATTTGTACTTCCCTGCTGATAATATTATAATATACAATTCATTCACATCATTTACATACTTGTCTACATGAATACACATGTATGCACATATACCAAATATGTCACTGTCAATTATACATGGAGGAATAACAATGAGGGAGAAAATCCCTAAACCGAAAGCTTACCTGAATTAGTTTTCCTTGAAAAGTAACTTGAAATGCACACTATGATTTACTTGCAACTTGATCTTCATATATCAACTCTCTTGATTGACGACTTAAATAGGTTAATAGGACCTAGAATCAACTCTGAACCATGGAAACATCACAAACACTCATTCTTTTTCAAGTGGGCAGCTAGGATCTCGTGGCTTTAGAGAGGTATATCTCACTCATATGAACTTCTAATAATGATTTAAAACATAGGCTATAATCACAAGATCCTATACTACAAGTTTTGTGAGATAGGATTTTGAAGAAAAGAAGAAGTAGAACAAGTGTTTTATCTGAATAATACTTTCTTGATTCATTGAGAGACCCAATGGGTCCTTTTTATATTGAGTACATCCAACTACCTCAACTACTTTAATAAATATACAACCACCAACTACATCAATAAATATACAACTACCAACTAAATATACAACTACCAACTACATCAATAAATACTATCTAGAATATTCTACATATTCTACACTCCCCCTCAAGTTGGGAGATATATATTGATCATTCCCAACTTGCTGATCAAATTCTCAAAGGTCGGCTTAAGTAATCCTTTGGTGAGGATATCCGTCGTCTGTTCCTTGGTAGGTATATATGTCAAGCATACACTACCGTCTTCTAATTTCTCTTTGATAAAGTGACGATCAACTTCCACATGTTTTGTTCTGTCATGATGAACAGGATTTTGAGCAATGCTGACAGCAGCCTTATTATCACAATATAATCTGATAGGTAGGGAATAAGAGATCTTCAACTCCTCCAGAAGCCTTCGTAACCAAATTCCTTCACAAATACCATGGGCTAGAGCCCGAAATTCTGCTTCTGCACTGCTTCTTGCAACAACAGTTTGTTTCTTACTTCTCCAGGTCACAAGGTTTCCCCAGACATAAGTACAATATCCTGAAGTAGATCTTCGGTCCATTGCAGAGCCAGCCCAGTCTGCATCTGTATAGATTTCAATCATCCTTTTGTGCCCCTTTTTAAAGAAAATTCCTCGACCAGGGGTATTTTTGAGGTATTTGAGAATTCTATAAACAGCACTAAGGTGTTTTTCCTTAGGAGAATGCATGAATTGGCTAACCATGCTCACAGCAAAAGCAATATCAGGACGAGTGTGAGACAAATAGATTAATTTCCCCACTAGTCTCTGCTACTGCTCCCTATCAACATCTTCCCCGTCCTCAACACCCATCTTGATATTAGCTTCAATTGGAGTCTCTGTCGGCTTGCACCCAAGCATACTTGTTTCTTGCAACAGGCCTAGAATGTATTTTTTCTGAGTTAAAGAAATTCCTTCCTTACTCCAAGCAATTTCCATGCCAAGGAAATATTTGAGAGATCCAAAATCTTTTAGTTCAAACTGGTCAGCTAAATATTTTTTTAAAGAAGTTATCTCCTCGCTATCATTACCAGTGACAATTATGTCATCAACATAAACGATCAGAATAGCAATTCTTCCTTTGTCGGAGTGTTTAAAAAATAAAGCGTGATCAGTCTGAGCTTGGGTGAACCCTCTTCCCTTAACAGCTTGAGTAAATTTCCCAAACCATTCTCTGGGAGATTGTTTAAGTCCATAGAGAGACTTCTGCAACTTGCACACAGAACCATCCCCTTTTTCAAAACCAGGAGGTGGATCCATGTAAACTTCCTCATGGAGATCACCATTCAAGAAGGCATTCTTAACATCTAACTGTTGCAATGGCCAATCAAGGTTGGCGGCAAGAGATAACAGAACGCGGATAGTGTTAAGTTTGGCAACAGGAGCAAATGTCTCCTGATAATCTATCCCATGAGTTTGAGTAAATCCCTTAGCAACTAATCTGGCCTTATACCTATTGATGCTATTGTCTGCATTGAATTTTATTGTGAACACCCACTTGCAACCAACAGTTTTCTTTCCTTTAGCTAATGTCACAAACTCCCATGTTCCATTTTTTGTAAGTGCATCCATTTCTTCTAATACTGCATTCCTCCATTTTGGGTCATCAAGTGCTTCTTGGATATTTTTGGGTATCCTGGTACTATCTAACAGTGTTGAAAGCACGAAAACCTGGAGACAACTTTTCATATGAGATATAATGGGAAATAGGATGAGCAGTGCAAGATCTAGTACCTTTCCGAAGAGCAATAGGCATATCAACGTTGGTTGTACTAGTACATTCAAGTGGCTTGCTGGAACAAGGACTCGAGTCAGGATCCTGGCAGTCTAGAGTATCTTCATGTGTTTTGCGCCTGCTGTAAAATTTTCCCCATTTACCAGGAGGATCACAAGGAGGATCATTAGATTCAGGTATAGTTGCTCCCCCAGTTTCCTTCCCAATAACTCCACCTGTTTCCAAAGGCCAAGGTAAGACAGGAGCATCATTTGGTTTCCCAGGCTTATCTTCATCCATACCAATACCAATAGACTCCCCCTGAAGAGAAGTCGGGGAAAAAAAGGATTGTGTCTCATAAAAGGTAACATCCATGGAAACAAAAACCTTACGGAGAGAAGGTGAGTAACACTTATAACCTTTTTGATTAGGGGAATATCCTATGAAGACACATCTGATGGATTTAGGGTCAAGTTTGGACCTTTGATGTGGAGGAATATGCACAAAAACCACACAGCCAAATATTTTGGAAGGAAGAGAAGAAAGAGCACTGAAAGAGGGAAAAGATTTAGTAAGACAGGATAAAGGAGAATGAAAATTTAGTACCCGAGAAGGCATCCGATTAATGAGATAACAGGTTGTCAAGACGACTTCCCCCCACAGATATTTAGGGACATGCATCGTGAATAAAAGAGCTCGAGCAACTTTAATTAGATGTCTATTTTTCCTTTCAGCCACCCCATTTTGTTGAGGGGTGTTAGGACAAGAAAATCCTCTTTTCACAATGAACATCTGTAAAATAGTATAGCCCTTCTTCCTCTCTAGCACTGCCAATCATCATCCCCGAGTCCTGTTCTTGAAAGATACAAGCATTTGCAGAGAACTTAGCAACACAATGCAACTCAGCAGTAAGTTTGCTAATAGAGATGAGATTACAAGTAAGAGAGGGAATATGAAGTACTGAGTTCAAAATAATATGCTCAGAAAGTTTAATGGATCCCTTTCCCGCAATAGTGGAGAAATTCCCATCAGCTGTTCTTATTCGTGACGGGTGATAGTAAGGGGTATAGGAGAAAAATAAGGTTGCATTACCTGTCATGTGATCAGAGGCCCCTGAATCAAGGATCCAACGATTACTACGTTCAACATGGAATGCCATACCTTTTTGAGCAACATGACTAGTTGCCTCAGCAGGTTGAGACATCAATTTCTGAAAAGACGAACTTTCAAAATTTTCAACGTCCATGGTTTTCTAACAACAGGTACCCAGAAAAAAGTTCCTCCAAATACGATTTTGACCCTCAAAACAGGAAGAGGGTTGCTCGCAAAAATCAATGAATGAGAGCAATCTTGGCTACAGTGAAACAGTAATTGCTACAGTAATGAACAGTACTGCTACAGTAATGAACAGTACTGCTACAGTAATGAACAGTACTGCTACGGGTCTTCTGTGGGCTGGCTCAGAATCTTGTTCTGAACCTAATGGTGGCCTTGGTAAGGATTCTGGCTTGGGCAGTGGCTAAAACGAAAAAAAAGGAATAGGAAAATGACTTAAAAATAAATCAGAACGGGGAAGAGACTGGAATATAACCAGCTCTGATACCATGAAGAAAAGAAGTAGAACAAGTGTTTTATCTGAATAATACTTTCTTGATTCATTGAGAGACCCAATGGGTCCTTTTTATATTGAGTACATCCAACTACCTCAACTACTTTAATAAATATACAACCACCAACTACATCAATAAATATACAACTACCAACTAAATATACAACTACCAACTACATCAATAAATACTATCTACAATATTCTACATATTCTACAGATTTATGTAGAAAATGGCTAAAACTAGATGAAAATCTCACTCTTAACTCTCTAGCAACTCATGGCCAAAGCATGTAGAAAGAAGAATATAAAAGCTTCAAGGTGAAGGCTTATTTATAGGCAATAGGCATGTGGAAGAAGAGGAAAGCTTGTTAAAAAAGCTCAACTTGGTTAGCAAGTAAGCATAGGTGGTGTCTTGAAGAAGCTATATAGATGACTTATGAACAAGCTTAACAAACTTAAGGCAAGTAATAGAAACTTGATATGCAAGCATTGAGGCGACTTGAAAAACAAGTAAAGGGACTTGTAGAAGAAGCCAACTTGGTGACCAAGCTTCTTGGACTTGGCGGCCAAGGCTTGAAAACGTGACTAGGAAGCTATCTTGGTAACTTAGTGGACAAGCTACACTAACTTGAAGACCAAGCTATGAGACTTGATGATCAAGTAATGGTGACTTGAGGACTAAGTCAAGGTATCTTGAAGAAGAAGCCAAAATGGCAACTTGGTTGCCAAGTAGGTGTAGTGTGATGTTGAAACTAACTTGATAACTTAATGAACAAGTAATGGCAACTTGAAGACAACTTGTTAAACAAGTAAGGTAGTGACTTGATGAACAAGAAATAAGGTAACTTGGTGAGCAAGAAACTTAACTTGATCAGAAAGTTACATAACTTGATAGCAATAAACACTCAAACTTGGTGTTCAAGCAACTTACTAACTTGGTAAATAAGTAACACACTAACTTGTTGAACAAGTAACATGGAAACTTGGTATGCAAGTAAGGAATAATCTTAGTGAATAAGCTAACTTGACTAGCAAGACAAGGTAACTTGTCTAACAAGAATGGTTACTTGAGAAATTTAATCATCACACCACTTTACTTTAAATAGAAATTAACTATACTGATTCTTATTTTATCTAACTTTGACTTATTTTTCATAATTATTCTACTCATAATTAACATACCTTTATATCACTTAAAATTCATGAAATTTCCCACACAATTTAACTAGACTATTAGAATTAAGTTTAGGCTATGTTTTTGCCAATTTACTAAATTGCCATAAACTTTCACTAAATTGACATCTATGTCCCTACTCATATTTCATGCCCTTATTCAAATCTTAGTTGACTTTTTAAATATGAATTGTATCCTCACATTCATAATCATGCTAATTACATGATTAACTAGACACTACCTCCTTGAACACATACTTAATTCTCAATTATTTGCTAAATTCCTTAATTAGCAAAACTTGCTTGTGAGGGTTGTTATAGAAATACTTTTCAACAACTTACAATAAATAAATCTATACATGGTTTTAATCAGATACATACCTTTAGTTGGCCTCGGAAAAGAAGAACCCTCAAATGTGTGTTTAACATCATAATTTGTGTGACATAAGAAGAGATTTTAGGCGATTGGCACTCATCCACAATGATTGCTTCCCATTCTATGCCTCCCAAAACCTCCATATCCTGTACAATAATAACATTAAGTTAACAAGCATAACATTATTATTTTATCAGAGAAGACAAAACAGACAAAATATAGAAGGAAAACATAAATCCAAATCAACCAATGAGACAACTCATCCACCCACCCACCCCTTCTTGAGGGCCAATCGCTGACCAAAAACAACATTGATAAACCCTATCAATATCAGCAACCAGCTTCTTGAACATACCTCAATGAGGATCTCTTGAACAATTATGAGAACTTGGAAGAGTATACACCGTCCTTCATCGTAAAATTCAATTTTCCTAATGCTATTACGCGTCTCTTTGTTTCCATTGTAGATAACAACATCTGTAGATTGCAACTGGTAAAACTCGCCCTCCCATGAATGGAGAGAAGCAGCAGTTGTGATGATGAGGAAAGGTCGATAAGTATCAAAGTGCAACGATAAGATAAATGCAACTACTTTCAAAATTCGTTCCTGAAATTCATTATAAGCAGGGACTTAGTTCTAAGAATACCAAATCACACAATTTCTATCACTAAAAATTTCAAATGGCTCTCCAATACCGACCATGAAATATAAATAAAGCACAATCTTAATATAATCAAATCAGTGCTAACAGACTCATCAAACATTAAAAAATAATAACAATTTTGATGCCAAGCAAGAGTTAATAATGGATGAAATAAAACAAGGACAAGCGAACACATAAGAAGTAGGGAAATCATTAGTTAAAATCATTATAATATACAATAATATTAGAAAACTAAAGCCAAAATATATTTGCTAGTCATTCTCGTTTCTTCAGCACAGTACTTCCATCCAAAAACCAGTCGCTGCAATTTTGGTTTTTATAAATGGATATAAAGATTGATAACCAGAAACCAGATTGGAATTAATAAACCAAAATTAATCTATTGACATAAGGGAAAAATATAATCAGTAATGCTCACATGGTCATCAATTACAATGGCATTCTGACCCTGGTGCCAATGCTCACGTAGCTTGTTAACTGCATCCAACAAACTGTTGTTACCAAATCCAGAAGAAACTCCACCAGGCAACTGAGATAGTTTATCAACAGAACTTCCGCGGTGTGGTTTCTTCAGATGGTTGAGACGAAGCCAAAAAGAATAATCAGGGTGGAGGAGAATTTATCAGAGCAATAATATCATGAAACTTAGCTATAATTTAATAAGGCTGAGAATATTATAGGGAACAAACGCAGGATAGCATCTCATCTCATGCCACTGCTCAAACAATATAAGCTATTTATGTTTGGGACATGTCAATTGACCTCACATCAGGTAAGAATGCAACACAGACTATTAATCATAAATCAGTTGGTAAATCTCTTTGGGGCAGAATCACAGTTTTGTTCAAATCTGATTGATTCAAGATAAACAATTTTAAGCCAAGCCACAGACAGGATCTGCACAGTCCAACGGGGAATTTTCCCTCTTCTTAACATCATTGTTAGATTTAAATAAAAAAGAAAAGGGTCAAAAAATGCCATTTAATTCAGATTCAAGCCAATTAACCCAATTATTTCCAGCTCTTTAAACCCTAAATCTATTGTCCTCATCTTTTAGTCTAATTGCTGTGGACCCATACCCTAATTGCGAGGATTATAATAATAGATTACAAAACAGTGACTTGTGCTCTTAAAATTGAACTCAATTTGCTATATGATTGTTGAATCTTGAATTATTTTAGAGTTTACACTTTTTAACTTTTGGAAACTTTATCAAATATTTGGCCTTGAATATTGATATTTTGCACTATTTAAGAAATGTTATGATATTTAATTATGCAGAAGATGCATTTTATGTTATTATAAACATGTGATCATGAATATTATCTGATTCATGGTTTGGAAAGTCGCTTTCAGATTCATGATTCATTTCACAATTTAGCAGATATGTTCAAAATCATTAGGCTGAGGCACCTTATTTAATTTGGAGCAAGAAGAAATTCTCTTTGCTCTCTGGAAACGCCATTCATAGCCTCTGATTAAGCTTTGGCCTTCAGGTGAACAAAGAAATGAAGCATTGTCCAACTCCCATGTAGCATGCTCATAACCAAGACCACGCCATTTCACAAGCCATTCATAGCAACAGTCAAAGTTATCAACTGCATGTTTATTCCCGTGATCATCAAAATGTTTACCACTGATTAACGCTCTCTTCTGCAGCAGACGATGTGGTAAACTCCATTCTGGCTTCAACCTTAGGATCTGAAGTAATGAAACTCTCAGCAATATACACTCATTCTAGCATAACAATCATAAAGCTTGATTTACCAAACATGATATGCAAAAGCAAAGATTAACAGTTAAAAAACCTGAACTTTCTGATTAAATTTCATAAGCAGCGAAGGATCTTCAAGAAGTAACTGATTTTCTGGCAGCCAACGATTGTGGACATGAGCAAGGCCTTTATATTTAACAAGATATTCCTTCTGAGCCATAAATCCTAAAACAGTTACCATTGAAGGGACAATGTCAGATACCAGAGTATGCGCTATATATTCGCAGTGAGTAAGAAAATACAGATGAAATTCTGGATGGTTTAAAATAATAAGGGAACCATCCATGAGAATAGTTCAAAAAGTGATATATTATTACTTTACCATCAACATTTGAAAATGGTACTTCTTTGACATCCCAAACTGATTCCACTCCCTCTGACACTGAATATACACCACATTCAATCTTCTTCCTTACACACAAATGGCAATACCAAACTCCCAGGGGAGCATCCAGCAAGGGAGGTTCAAGACAAGAAAGATGGTAGCATCCATTGCATTCTTTTCCACCACAAAATCTGCAACAAGCAGTCCAGTCTAAGATTGCAAAATCAAAGCATGAACTTTAAACATAATGTAGACATACATCATGCAGTAATATTCATGCAGTGGGATTTTTTATTTCCGGGTGAAGAAAAAGAACGAAAAGAAGCCTCGAGAGGAAGTGGTCGTCCTTGAGTTTGACAAGATCAAGATTTCTGACAAACTCAAGGGAGAGAATAAGCACAATGATAGGACTCCTATTTAAGTGTATGCTAGGCAGTGTTATAGAAGATTATTGCTAAATGATGATTCAACTGTTCAGAATATTCCAGAGGAATGAGTTTGTTAGAAGAAAGAAAGAAGTTGGTTGCTGAAGTGGCAAAGGTAGTTAGAAGGAATAAAAGGCATGGGAAGAATGGGAAAAGGGGAAGGAATAGGACTGGAACTTGGGAGAGCCTCAGCACCTATCGAATGTGCTGAACCAGCCTTCACTGTGATGATTATCAGCAGATTTCTGTAATTCCATTAGTATAGCTCAGTTACTGTAATTTGTCTTTGTAATTGTCTTTTGTTTCTCTGTACTTTGTATTCAACATTATCTTTAGTGAAATATCAGAAAATCCAGTTCTTCTGGGCCAAAAAGTATGTTTAGATCCTGTTATTTTGTCTTTCTGATAACCAGTTCTTATCACACAACCTCTAAGAAAAGCTTGACCAATCAGCTCAATTAAGTTTTTTTATTTTATTTTTTATTTTTATTAGGTGGGAAAGGGAGAAAGTATTTGGGTAAAAGAAAAAGAAAGGGATAGGGAAGATTTTTTTGTGAAACATTGTCATTTTACTTAAAAGGATGTAGTACTGTGTCCTTCAAAATGGCAAACACTTCTACTTTAAAAAAAAAAAAAATTTAATATAATTATGACATTATCAATTTCAACTGTTGGTTAAACAAAGTTGAATCAGTCCAACAGATTACCAGTAAGGTCACTAAATCAATGACCTGTCCAGTTTCTAAAACAGGTAGCAGCCATTTTCAACAAACACGTGAATAATATGTTCTTACACAAAAAAGCATGCAACATGCCAACAAAATAGATATTAACTTATTAAGTACATGCCATTGCAGTTAGTTAGCAACTATGGAAATTTACGCTGAAAGGGGTAAATGGGGAAAACCATAATGACAGACGAATGAATCCGTTCTGCACATGCCAAACCACTATGGACTTTAAATGATGAATGCACAAGAATGATACAATACTTGCATGAACAGGCCATCCAACGTAAGAAATGTACTCACAATAACTGTCCTTCCCTGTTGCAAATAAGGCATAAATTTTTAGAAACTTCTGCTAGTCTTGCAGGACTACACTTCTGCAGCATGCTTGCATCAGTATCACCTCCATCCTGAAGCTAATGACAAAACACAACGAGATCAATGAGCCACCCACAGATTAATATAAACAAACAACATAAATGTAGAAGAATACACAACTCTTAACTTTTGTACTAATATTAGTCTATATATGGTAAACAATTGTGCATGAATGAACAAGCAAAAATATTCAGATTCAGAATTCTAAGTTTCAACTTTGTGTTTTCAAAATATTTTACCACTTGTGAGTTAAAGAAACAAATTCTTTTGTCTGGGTGCCAGGGCATGGTTAATTAATTATTAATAAATACTCTATAATTAGCATTGTTTCACTAGTAACATTTTTGTAGTCCACATACATGCTAGATGTTAACTTGTTTGTGCTTAATATCCACTGTAAGGCTTTTTCTAACAAAATTTAAGCAATTATTTTTATTTTTTACTCTTTTTGGGGGTGGGGTGAAAAGCAAAAAAGAATTCCAACCAACCTCTGCAGAAGGGTTACGTGACTCATTAACTGTAGGATTACCATCCAACCTGCAAAGTAAAGAACCAATCATTTAGGACCTAAAAATACCTAATAAGCCAAATTCCCATAAATCATTATTAAATGGTCAACATATATAAGATACCGATGCTATTATTCCTACCAAAAGATTCCATTTAGTAGATGGCATCTACATACTTTACATACTTATACAACCAAATATTGTATTCGTCGAGGTTAGGAGAATATATAAACAGTAGGGAAACTCCTGAGTTGCAAATGACTTGTCGAAAAGAAGAAATCTGATACTATAAAGAACCAATTCAATCCAAAAACTTAAGTTATTAGGTGAGGACCTTTTTAATAATTTATATTATACTCCTCTAACATGTCTCCTCATACAAGAGCCTACTGGGCTTGAAGGATGGACAATACACAGGCCCACCTACCTGTGCTAAGAAACTCCACAAGACTTAATTAATTATTAATTAAATAGGGGCAGTGAGGATCGAACCTGTGACACCGAGGCTCTGATACCATGTAAAAAATCAATTCAACCAAATGGCTTAAGCTATTGGGTAAGGACCTTTTTAATGATTTATATTATACTCTAACATATACGACTCCTCTTATCAAGGTTTACACTAGAAAGCGTTTTGGAGGATCATTGGGTCATGAAGCTACTGACTGAGCTAATTCAATTAGAGGAGAGAGAGTAGAGACTAACATGGCAGGAGTTAGTTGAGGAGGTTTTGGTTAAAAGGAAAACTGAAAGGGCACAAGTGGCACATTTGGAATTTGGGAATTTGGGCCGGAAGAGATCAACACTTCTTTAATTGTGTTGAACCTATCTTTTGTTCTTCTTTAATTGATGTGTAATTGGGGAAAGGGATTTGTAATCTATCTTTCTCTGTAGGATTATCTCAATCAGTGTTATTTTCTTGGAATCCAGTTTAGTAATATACAGAAAATATCCAGAGAGAGTTCTTTCTGCGCAAAAAATTCTCTTGTTCTTCTTTCGACTTTCTTGATTGTAAATCTAGTTTTATCAACTGGTATCAAAGCACTTTGATCCCAAGGGTGCCTTGAATGGTAGCGACACAGAACATGGATGCAAGGTTTGAGGCTATTGACAAACGCTTCAAGGTGTTACAGTTCCAACATTTATTCAAAATTGGACTTAAAATCTAGGTACCACCAGATTCGCATGAGAAAGGAGGACATCCCAAAGACAACCTTCAGAACTCATGAAGGCCATTATGAGTAATTGGTGATGCCCTTTGGGCTCACCAAATGGCATCACCAATGCTTAGTCTACCTTCCAATCTCTCATGAAGGAAATTCTAAAAATATTTTGGCGCAAGTTTGCCTTGGCCTTTTTCGATAATATACTAATTTATATCAACAGTAGAGAAGAACACTTAGCCTTCTTCATTCAGTATTTGAGGTGTTGAGGCAGAATAGTCTAGTGGCTAACCGCAAGAAATGCAGCTTTGCAGAGCAACATGTTGAGTACCATGGCCATATTATCTCTTATGAGGAGGTGATGGCAGACCCCAAGAAGGTGGAAGCAATGACTAGGCCAGGCCTAAGAGCATGAAGGGATTACGGGGATTTTGCGGCTGACGGGGTATTATAGAAAATTTGTTCAAGATTAAGGAATAATTGCTAAGCCCTTAACCGACCTGCTGAAAAAAGAAAGTTTTTTATGAAGTACATAGGCACAATCAGCTTGAGGTTCTTAAATCTGCCATGTGTCAGATTCCTATACTAGCTCATAAATTTGTTCTTTAAGTTGCTTGGGTATGACTTTGAGATTCATTTGCCAAGGAACTGCTAATAAGTGAGGATTCAATACCAACCAGGCAAATAGAATATAGTCGCAGATGCTCTTTCAAGATAGTTGCAGCTTTCCTCTTTAACTTGTGTCGACCCTACAGCTTATGGGGAGTTGGAAACTAAGTTGCACAACAATGCTAAGTTAAAAGGAATTATTCAGGATTTAGTGTTGGATCTCACATCTCACCCAGATTTTACTTTGCAAGGCGGATGCTTGTTTTACAAAGACAGATTGGTGTTGTCTAAGATGTCTAAATTTATTCCCTTCATTCTAAGGGAATTCCACGATTCCTATATATATAGGGGGCCATTCGGGTTTTTGGAGAACATTTAAGAGAATTTTTGGTTTGGTTTTCTAGGAGGGTATGAGGAGGCAAATTAAAAACTGTGGTTGTGTGCTCTGTTTGCCAACAGTGTAAGACTCAAAATTTGTCCCCTACCGAACTCTTGCAACCTTAATCAATTCCTACTCAGGTATGGGTTTGATATTTCTATTGATTTTGTGGGGGGTCTACCTAAGGCTCAGGGGTTTGACATGGTTTTTGTAATAGTTGATCGACTATCGAAGTATGCTCACTTCATTCCGTTAGCTCATCCATATACAACCAAGAAAGTAGCCCTGTTTCTTAATAAAGAAGTAATTCACCCATACTTATTAATCTCGGATAGCGGCTGACCCTCCAAACTGCTATAGCGCTACAACGGGTAGCGCTACAAAGCTACTGTGCAAAGTGTACCTAAGTGATACATTAAATTGTACTTCACAAATATAAAACTTAAAATATGAAAATGTGACATAAAAAACAAATTTGAAAGATCTCAAACTCAAAACATAAATGATTTCAAATATTAAAATTCAAATCATAAGCAAATTGAAGGAATTAAAGTCTCAAATAATGTAACACAACAAAATAAAGTTGCCAAATTAGTCAAAATTCAAACTGCCACTTAAGTGAAATGTCAAAATCAAAGAACTTACGGAACTAATCATAATTGAAATCATGAACATCCAAATCTTCATCTTCACTTTCACTTGTATCTAAGTTGTAAATCTCTTCATTCTACGACAAGAACACTTTTGCAAAAACTACTGTAGCGTCAGCCACAATAGCGGCCGCTACATCCACTACACTTCGCCTAATCGTCGCAGCGCGGTCTGTGACGGTCGACCGCTGCACCGCAACGCAACTCCGCTATAGCGCGCTAAAGCGAGGCTATTCACAAGTATGAGTTCGCTTGTATGGTTTTCCCTATTCGATAGTTAGTAACCGTGACAATTTTTATCAGCTCATTTTGGACTGAAATGTTCAAGTGTACAGGTACTCAGTTGAGATATAGCATTGCCTATCATCCTCAGTCTAATGGGCAAGCTAAGGTGGTGAACCTATTCGATTATGTTGAACCTATCTTTTGTTCTTCTTTAATTGTTGTGTAATTGGGGAAAGGGATTTGTAATCTATCTATCTCTGTAGGATTATCTCAATCAGTGTTATTTTCTTGGAATTCAGTTTAGTAATATACAAAAAATATCCAAAAAGAGTTCTTTCTAGGGAAAAAATTCTCTTGTTCCTCTTTTGACTTTCTTGATTGTAAATCCAATTTTATCAAAAATCACTTTCGGTGGAAGAAATACCCAACATAGTCCAAAAAACCAACATGTTTTACTACAACAACAAAGTCTAAAAAAACAAAGATGCTTAAAGTGACATATCAAGCAGCATCTTTCATACGAACAATTTTTAATAGAAATGTGTCATACAATCATGATTCAATAATTTGAAAATAAACTAGAAAAGACATTTTGGTACGGGAGAACGACAAAAGCCAACACTCTTACACACAATAAAAGCAACATAACACACCAAAACACCTGAATAAAGAATGGTTTAAAACTCTTATTTCATTCTAATTCAATGAATAATGGTATATTGATATTATTACCTATCATTTGCCAACAAGTAACAAGTACCTTATTCGTTTGGAACATGAAGCATCCATCCCCATAATATTCCCACCTAGCCTTGAAGAGCTAGTATCGGGAATCAAGTTGCTATTTTCATCATTAGCCAATGCAGCAGAAACATCTGAATCCGTGCCCACCTTGACTCCCTTGCTATTAGAAGGCGCTAATTTTTCACCCTTGTCATGCCCAACAATGTTAGAAACTAAATCTTCAGCCAGTATGGAATTCCTTGACACTAACATCTGTAATGTCTGCTCTCTGCCGCAATCAGGTTGAACCCTTTGATGTACCACACCAGTCTCAGAAGTTGTGGGTGATACCAACATACCTAGAGTCACATTATTTTCTACTAGACTTTTCTCGGGCCCAATCAACCTAGAGTCAACTCTCATCTCTTTAACTTTAGCATCTTCAGATGGTTGCGTACCATTCTTGGAGGCTTCTTCACAATCTGAAAGACTCCCTTTAGAGCACTCATCAATCTTGCCTCCACCATTGTCATCATCCTGATTTGACTTATCAATCCTATTCAGCTCCGCACGGCAATCTGAAAGTCAAGCAATTAAAAAGAATGGATAATATAAATACCTAAGAATAATCAGCATGCCTCACTAGGCCAAACTTTCAATTATCTTAATTTTTGATAGATAAACCATAAAGAAGCCAAGGAGAGACTTGAAGAAAGATCCACCATTACTAGCACCTTCAATCACATTTTTTATAAAATGATAGTGCTCATAACATTAGCCACCAAATTAGCATTGATGTTTATTACATTTGAATAAGTAACAAAACCCATGGCTAAGTAAAGAACATAAAAAGTTGCAATAAGAATGACGCTAGGCAACCTGCTGTATCACCTTTCTTTGGTTTCCTGAACATTGACCGGTACATACGGGAGTTCATTCTCTTTGTACTAACAGGGGAAGTTCCCAGATCAAGTTCCTCATATTTTCTTATTTCCTTTGATTCAGAAGTCAATTGTATCACGCTCTTTTCCTTCTTCTGTTTCTGCTTTGACCTCAATGACCCTGAGCTTTTAGAATCCGAAGGACTCGAAGAAGAGTTACTCTTTCTTCCAGATCTCCTCAAAGGACTTGGTATCTTCTGTTTCTCAAGTCTTTCAGATTTCCTTCTAACTGCAGGAGTTGTCGGTGTTCCCTTTCCAAGTCGCTCAGATTTTCGAGTACTTGAAGGGTTTGAAATCATCTTCTTTGATGGTTTCTCTCTAAGAGACCTTCTGAGACCATTTGTATCTGATACATTGGGATGTGAGCCGATTTTTCTTTTCTCACCAGTTCGGATTGGCCTCTCATTATTATTTTCTCCATCCTTAGCCTTGTGAGTGGAACTTGTACCAGTTGTCATCTGTTAGCATAACATTGTGACTTGTGAGACCAACATAATGATACTTTATATCAATATACAGACACAGTAACCAACATACAATACACAAATGTCATTTGGCACATGGCAAACTCCATCAGGTTTAGCTGTACAGCATGGTACCAATGGAGAAAGGATATAATCATTTGAAATAGAGCCATTTATTGCTATTCAATTTGGTGTTAAGGTAAAAAAAAAAAGCGCAATAATTGTAGCCTGCAATAAGACGCAACAGGATGAGATGCACTAATTGATCTATTTTCTACCAGTAAAAAGAAAAACAACTTAAATTTTTCTCTTTGTTTGCTCAAGTAGCTCAAGCGAAAAAGATTTATCTCAAAAACTAACACAACTAGCATAAATTAGTAATTGTCCACTTATAGCGGAAATATCAATATCCATTAGGCAAATTATTCAAAATTCATAGATACAGGAATCCCGTGGACGTAGAATGAAAACAAATAAGCTAATGAAAGTAACAACTGGAATTTGTAAAGGCAAGAATAATAATGGCACACACAAGATGTGGAAATTGTATGATCGTTCCCGTCATCCCATGGCAAATTAATGGGAATGGATCTTCTAATGATCATATCATGAGAAAATCATGATCATTCATTCATAGATCAACGGTCAGCTGTCACCAATTAAAATGACCCATTCCCTCTTCTCTGTTCTACGAACTAGTGATCATAAATCAATGAAAGGATGAGATGTTGAGACCCAATCCATAGATCAATGTCATGTGAGACATTTGATCAGTCAATTAATCACTGAAATTGTTCACTATGACCGGTGAGAGGACGCATTCCCTTAATCACATGCTTTATCACTTAATTCCCAGAAATTCCATAGGTTTGGAAAAACAGGGACAATGGAACCGGCATTTTGGTTTGTATTTTAAGGTATACAGGAAGATTGCTCATAATATCAGCCTAATCAAGAAAATAGGGCATGCAATGCAAATTAAAAAGAGAGAGAGGAGACTTTTCACCTTTCAATTTTAAACCAGAATTTCGAACCAGAACAAATATCACCGCACGCACGCCACCAAGTTCGTCAAAATAATTCAACAAAACCCTAATTCACAACAGCAGAAATTACACAGACATTATTTCGCAGCAGTGTAGAGTTCGCAGAGGTGAGGTTTAAAAAAACCGAAGGGAGAAAAAAAAATCATAGCACCGAAACAATTACATGAAAAATTTGAGTAACATTAACCAACCTGTACGAATCGCTGGTGAGACGCAAATGTTACAGAGAGATGAGGGTTTTATTTTATGAGTAGGTTTAGCAATGTATCATGGAGATAAATGACGTCGATGTAAGTAGAGCGTAGCATCTTCGTTCTTGGCAAAAAAAAAAAAGGAACGAACAACTTCCAATTCTGAAGAAAGATGACATTAACCATGTTTGGAAAATAATTATATCGTGAAAATATTTTTTTAATTATCATAAAAAAAATATTCGGATTTTTTATTTAAAAATTTATTAGTGTAACAGTTAATCAATTTTAATTAAATAATTAAGAGCGAATTCAAAGGGTATTCGATACTAAGAAGATTCCAATGATATTTGTAACATTTTTCTTAAATAGGATGTAGAGTTCCTAAGGAAATTTGCGAAAAAAAAAATCTTTTACTTATGGAAATTATAAATTGATCTCGAAACTATGACTTACTTAATAAAGTAATTGATGATGTGTATAAAAAAAAATGTAATTGATGGCTTACAATAAAAGCCAACTCTTAACTTATATGAGAAATAATGAAGAAAAGGAGGGTCTTAGCATGTGAGAGGGGAAAATAAAATTTTTCCGCAAGTGGAATACACATGCATATCAAGATACATACTTTAAGACATATGTCATACCTTGTTCGTGAAAAACTCAAGATGATCAAAGGTAGGTCTGAAGGGTTCAGACCCTCTAACGTTGATCCACACCACCTGCGTCTAGATACAGGAACTCCTTCCAGTAAAGCCGCCAATTGATCACCACAAAGAGGCTTGTTATTCGCTCAATGTGTGATGAGAGGAGGCTATGTAAAAGTGTTTGGAAGAGTGAAGTTTTCTAAGAGAAAATCTCACAAAAGTGGCGCAGGAAATTAGGAGAGAATGACTTGGTTGGTTTTCTAAAAACCCTAGAAGGAACATATATAAAGAGGAGCCTATTTGTTAAAAACAAATCAGATTTTTAATCAATAAAAATCCCTTCCAAAAGGGCGCTCCATCAAAGAGAGAGAATAGGATTTGTTGCAAATCAAATCTCATCAAATCTTGCCAACAACATCCTATCATATCTTTATGATATATTAGGTTCAAAACCTAATCAAATATCTGATCATAAATCATCATATAATCAGTTATATGGTGCGCCCCATATAGCAAAAATAATGACCAGATACATTTGAGTAGTTGCATTCAAACTTGAATCAAATCACTCAAATATTCTCCCAACAGATCGTATCTTCTGGAACTTATTCTGATGACTAACCAACAGCCAAATCAGCACCCCAAATCTTCTTAGATTATGTCCAAAAGATTTCCTCTTGATATGTTCCAACAAGATCTCATCTTATCCTTTTGTTATGAAACAACTTTTCATAACCAATTCAAATTCGAATTTCAAACATTTTAATTCAAACTTTCAAACACTTAATTTTAAATTCAAATTCTAAATTCAAATTCAAATTTCAAAATTCAAAATTCAAAATTTAAAATTCAAATTTCAAAATTTCAAATTTCAAAATTCAAAATTCAAATTTCGAATTCGAATTTCAAAATTCAAATTCAAATTTCAAATTTCAAATTTCAAAATTCAAAATTCAAATTTTAAATTCCAAAATTCAAAATTTAAATGTTTGATAATTAATTTAACTAATTAAATTAATTAGTAATGACTTGGACTATCCAAGCCCATTACAATGATCCATGCGCCCTCCACCCCTTTAGGTGGAGTTCCAAACAACTTCTTGGGCTAATAACTATTATTAGGCCCAATACCTTTAATGCTAGAGCATCTAGACAATTAGGTGTTTGCGTGTGACCCATTAGGTCCAACATAGCCACTGACATAAATGAGCCTGGGCCCAATAAGCCCACAACCCATCTAATGACAACACAGAGCACTAGCAATGCTTTGTTGCCCCAGAGCTAGTTAGATTAATGATTTGATCATCCTATTAAACATATTTGGTTGCCGTATATATTTCCTTTAAAAAGCTAAAGAAAAACTAAACATTAATATTTTGGATGAGGTACGTATATTTATCATATATTGACTAATGTGGATAATTATTTTCTGAATAAAAAGCTAATTCTAGATAAACAAATCAGGAGTAAATGATGAAAGAAAATGGCCTTGAAGGTTGTAGGCATGTGAGGATGAAAACAAAATTTTTCAAGAGCGAAAACACATGCAAATTAAGATACGTACTTTAGGACGTAATGATACCTTTGTTCGTGATTCAAAACTCCAAAGTGATTAGTGTAAGGTTTGAAGGTTCAAACCCTCTAATGTTGATCCACACCACCCTACGTCAAGATGCAAGAACACTTCTTAAAAGCCACCAATCGAACACCACAAGGAAGGCTAGCTAGGCGTCCAATACGAGAGAAAGAGGCTTAGGTATCAAGGTGTTTAGTTGAGTGAGTTTTCAGCATGAAGACTCACAAAGTGGGGCATGAAGTTCTATGAGAAGAGGCAAGGTAATTTTTGAAAAACCCTTAAGAGAACCTAACAGAAGGATGCACTTTTGGAGATGAGAGAATGATTGAATTGAATAAGATTTTTCTCCCAGAAATCTGACCTATGTAGCGCCCAATGGTGGAGGAATAAGTGGAGTTGTTGCAATTCAAATCTAGCCAACAACCTCCTATCATATCCTCTTTAGACTAAGTCTATACCTAGTCAAAAATCTGACTTAATATCATATGGCCAGCCATTTGGTGCGCCCTTATTCAGCCCAAAAACAGTCCAAATACATTGAGTAGTTGCAATTCAAATTGAACCAACTCACTCACTTATTCTCTCAACAAACCAAATCTGATTGGAGCTTATTTGGTTGACCATATGACCATCAAACAATCACCAAATCAGCGCCCCAATCTTGCTAGAAGATGTCCAAAGATCTTCTCTTGATACTTGGGATTTGATCCATCAAGATCTCATCTTATCCTTTTGTTATGAAACAACCTTTCACAGTCAATTCAAATTCAAATTCAAACATTTAAATTCAAAATTCAAATTCAAAATTTAAATTCTCAATTTAAATATTTGATAATTAATTTAACTAATTAAATTAATTAATAATGTCGTGGACCATCTAAGCCCATTACTACTACCATGCACCCTTTCCCTTTTAGGTGGGCTTCCAAACTTCTTCTTGGGCTAACAATCATTATTAGGCCCAATACCTTTAATGTTATATCATCAAGACAATAAGGTGTTAGTGTGTGACCCATTAGGCCCAACATAGCCACTGACATAAATGGGCTTGGGCCCAACAAGCCCATAACTTATTTAATGACAACACAGAGCACTAGCAATGCTTTGTTGCCCCAGAGCTAGTTAGGTTAATGACATGATCATCCCATTACATATATTTGGTTATTGTATGTATTTCCTTTCATCTCGGTTACCTTCCCATTAAACCTAGGGTGAGGAAATGTATTAACCCTTGCGGTTTAGGGTAAGCCTATTACAAAGATTAAGATCACTTTATTTGACTTTTATTTTACGTATTTTCTTATTGTTAAACTCATATATAATTGAATCCGAGTTAAAATTCAAAATAATTTCTTTTTCTAATGTATATAATCAAAGAATCATCAAGAAATTGGTCTTCTATTTTATTTCGAAGCTTGTTCTTGATTTTATTTTACGCATGCGGATCCTAACTTTTTTCTTTCTTTTTAAATGTCAGAATCCGCATGTGCAAATATGTTTGCTACAAAAAATTCATATGCTATTGCTGCAGAAGAGACGAACCCATATATAAATCATGTTATCCATTATCAATAAATTAGATACCCACAAAGTTATATGTGTCCTTTCATTCTTTTTATAGCTAAAATTGTTAGAAATTTAAAGAGGTTAAGAATAATTTAGAAGAACACACTACAATTTTTTAATCTAATCACGTGTTTGGTAGGAGGTGAAAAAAAAAATTTCCAAGAAAATGGGCTTGGGAAATTATTTGCCTATGTTTGATAGGAGATGAAGTAAAAATATGACTAGGAAATTTTCTTTTCCATCATTTGCTTTTCTATGTAAAATATTTGGAGAAGATTACTATTGAAGAGTGAAGAGGTACTTGAAGAGTGTTTCAAGATTGAGTCCCACGCTCTCTTCAATGAAAATGCTTGTGCTTCCTCTTCAGTTGTCTTCTCTTGCAATTGCAAGCTGAACAATTTTCAAAAGTTTGATTTGAGCGGTTAAGGTTTTGTGCTTCCTCTTCACGCTCACTCATGTCAGTAATTTACCCACTCACACACATTTTGTAATATTATTAAAATACCTATATATATATTTTTCCTATCAAATTTTAGGGGGGGCGGGGGCCCACCCTAACCCCCTATAGGTTCGCCCCTGATTATTATTGCATTGCACAATCCAATTAAATGAATTTATTGCAAATTGTTAAAATCCTCTTCTAAATATTTTATAGAAAGATTTGCAACTCATTTTCAAAATTTAAATTTGAATTAAATGTTCTATTGAAAGTTTTATTTTGGATTTCAAATTGGTCACAACTCACAAGTATTATATAAAAGGTTTCCTAATTGACTTAAACTAGTGCATTACCCGTGCGATGCACGAAGGAAAAAGATCAAAAAATTTGTCGGCGACTGTCGTTGATTAATCTTTAAATGAAAGAACGTGTCACTATTTTTCCTATATATATATGTGTGTGTATTTACAACAAAACCGCACGCACGCCACCAAGTTCGTCAAAATAATTCAACAAAACCCTAATTCACAACAGCAGAAATTACAGAGACATTATTTCGCATCAGCGTAGAGTTCGCAGAGGTTTAAAAAAAATGAAG